CGGGACATGGGCAGCCTGATCACCGGTGACGGTAGTGGTCGTCGTCGCGCGGTTTGCGATAGGGCTAATAGTAGGGGTGTTCGTGAGAGGAGAAATTGGCTTTGCCGGGTTGTTGGTACATTGTCCCCAAAGGTGTCCAATGTGGCCGATTCGCCCGCGGAATGTGCGTTGGCAGCGCGGGCATGTTGAAGGTGGTTGGCTGTTGGCAATGAGGAGTTGAAACACTTGTGACTTACGAGTCTCCCTTTCGGCTTTGGCGTCGGCGATCCCGTTGACGTCGTAGGTGGCTGCGTCAGTCTTCACATCTCTTCGTCATAGTGGTTTGTTCTGGGCGAGGTCCTTGTAGCGTCGTTTTGGTCCTTTCTTTCCGGTCGACAAGCATCTGCGGTGATATCACCATAGAAAAGCTGTTTTGGTAGACGAGTGTCGTCCTTTCTCAGCAGATGATCGCTCCATCGCAGTTGCAGTTGTCTCAGCATGGCGTGGGTGCTGAGAATTTCGGTTCGTTCCAGGATTTCCGTGTCCGGGATCCTCTCCTGCCATCTCACTCTCCGTATTCCGCGGAGGCAGCCGAAATGAAAGCAGTTGAGCTTCCTGACATGGCCTGCGTAGACGTTTCAAGTCTCCCGCTCCGTACAGGAGTGCCGTCAAGACGACGGTCTTGTTCATCTTCAATTTGGTGTTCATTTGAAGGTCGTGGCGATTCCACACGCATTCTTGCAGTCGACTGAAGGCCCGACTAGCTTTGGAGGACTGACGGCCAACCTCATCGTTGATATTTGTGTTACGCGTGAGTGTGCTTCCTAGATAGACGAAGTTGTCCGCGGTTTGGAGTTGGTTGCCGTTGACAGTGACCTGGGGAGAGTTGTATTCAAAGTTCGTTGACGGTTGATGCATGATCACCGTTTTGTCCGCGTTGATTGTCGGGCAGAAGTTGTCGCAGGTGGCAGCGAAGAGGTCCATGCTCCGTTGCATATCTACTTCGGTCGGGATGTTGAGCCGCAGTTGTCGGCGAAAAGCAGGTCGTGGACTGTACTCGTAGATGGTCGCGTTATGGCCTTCATGCGCCCGCTGTTTAGAAGATACCCATCAGTTCTGTAGGTGATGCGTATACCAGGGCGTTCACCATGATAGACATCCAGAGAATATTAGACAAAAGAGGGTTGGGGCGATTTCGCAGTTCTGCTCCACCACATTCGTCGCGAATGTTTCGCCTTTTTTATGACGCGCGCCATCCCGTCGTGGACCTGACGTACCATAAACGTGAATCATCCAGGACAGCCGAATTTCTGCATGATTTTCTACAATATCTCGCGATTCACCGTATCGAAAGCTTTCGTCAAGTCCACGAAGGTAGTGTAGAGGTAAGTCCTCATCTCCTGGTACTTCACTTTTAGCTGGCGGGCGGCAAAGATCATATCAGCGGTTGCGGGGTGTCCCCTGAATCCGCATTGGCTTTCCGGCAGAAGTTCTCGCTTTAGGTGGCCGTTGAGACAATTGAGGAGAACACTGGAATGGTGCCGTCAGTTGATCCATCAGTCGGCGACCGCCGTGCTTATAGATTTAAGCTGGGATCGCATCGGAGCCGGATGCTTTCCCGCTGTAGAGTTGTTGCATGGCACGGATGGTTTCTGGTAGGGAGGGCGGGAGATCCAGATCGGTGTTGGTTCCCACTTGGGGGAGCTGGTCGATAGCGACGTCGGTTATTATAAAGGAGCGTTTGAGGACGATTCAGAATCGGCGACTTCTCCGTCAAAAGCGTTGATCCATCGGAGCTGAGAAGCGGCGTGGTTCCTTTCGTTAGGGGGCCGTAGATCGCTTTGATCCCAGCGAGGAACTTCTCTGGTCCGTTGCGGTCGGCATACTCCTGGATCTCCTCGGCTTCGCGAGTCATGTAGGCGTCCTGCCTTTCTCGGAACTATTGCTGCGCAAGACGGCGGCTTTGGTAGAAGGTCGTTTTGTGTGCATCGGTCGGACTGTCGAGGTAGGCTCCGTGCAGCCTGTTCTTTTCGGCGAGCAGGTGGCTGATGGCTGCGTCGTTTTTGTCGAAGCAGTCCTGGTGTTGACGACGTGCGCGGCCGAGGACTCTCGAGGCGGTGGAATGGACGGCGTCCCGCAGTTGGCAGCATCGAGTTTCCACGGAGACGTCGTCTGCAGGTGACAGTTCTCCTAGCCGCTGGGTCAGTTGATTGCCGAAATGTAAACGGTCAGCAGGCAAATTCAACAAAATGGTATTCAATGTACCTGGTGGTCGCTCACCTTGTGGCCTTCTGTGGGGTTGCAAACGGAGCCTCATCTTGGAGATGACAGGGCGGTAGTCCGTCCAGCCATCGGCGTCGCAGATCGCCTTGGTCACCAGCACGTCCCGTCGATTGCGCCGCCGGGCGAGAACGTAGCCCAGTAGCAGCTAGCGCCGCGATCGGGGGTGCATTCAGGTGGCCTTCTTCCGCATCGGCAGGCATCGACATGTAATTGTTTTTGTGAAAGTCTCATCTCAATAGTGGAACAGAGTGTTTATGGCGTTGGGGTGTTCGGCGCATGATAGCGAGCTCAGCTCGGACTGGTAGGCTGTGCGAGTTGACCGGGGACACCTATTACATTGTCTGCACCCCTTCAGCCCCACTAGAGCACTTTGTCCACGGCTCACACACGCACGGAGTGACAGATAGGTATCCGAGTGTCCGTAGCCGTGTCATTTTGAGGCTGGAAAGAGTCGAGTGTGTAGTACTATGGGGGTCAAGACGAGTTAAATGGATTCCTTGAGTTGCGCGACTGCCTCTTCTTCTGAGTGCCGTTTGTCGAGTTGGACGGCATTGCTTTCGTTTGTCCTCCAAAGGTTTGTAGGGCTCATTACTCCAGTTATCTGAGTTTGAACAGCAGGCGGACGCGGTCGGCGTAACGGGTGATTATTCCGTCCCCTCCCCCCCCCCTCTACATAGTCGTAATTTTGACCGACCAAGTAAGTATCACTGGCTCATTTGTCAGTATGACCCTTCTCCAATTCCAAGCACTTTTAAGACTGGAGAGGCCTGTTAATGTAGTAGGAGAAAGTTTCGGTCACCCTTGATGTCTGATCGAGAAACCAAGTGTCTTAGCAATGGACAACTTCCCAAACTACAACTTACAATGTGCTGTGATGGTTTCAATACCTGTCAAGTAAATTATGATGGTGCGACAACGTCGGGTGGATCCCCTGTTTGTTTTTGCCCCCATCATGTTACAGCAGCAAGACTGTGTCCGAACGCTTATTGATGCGACTGGGTACACTCGCAAATCTTCCATACTTCAGACTTGCGCGTGCCGTAGTACCTTGATTCCACTTCCCAAATGAGCCAGGCGTAACCCCGACAACCTGAATATCAGAGGATATAAGGCTGCATTCTAGGTCTGGCTGCCCCAGTACCACCCATGCTGATGCTTTGATAAGGACCGACTGTGGCCGTTGTCAGCATTGTATCTTAGTCAAATGCCCTAAGTTCAACCCTGTGTTACCGACGTCTT